GTCGGGAAGACCAGAATCCCCCTCGGCGATGTTGTACTGTTCCACGGTCACGCCCGATAGGTCTAAGCTGACGGCCCCGTCGACCGCTTCGCACAAGGTCTCCAGCCACCCGTCGGCGTGCTCCCGTACCTCCTGGGGGGCGCCACCGCACGCCTCGCCTCCTGCCGCGGTGGCGGTGGCGGAGGTGGGAGCCGCGCCACAGGAGGAGGAGGAGGAGGAGGAGGAGGGAAATAGATGGAGGGGGGGAGGAAGGTGCGGGATGGAGGAGGAGCAAGAGGAGAGGGACAAGAGTGAGGGCGGAGGGGAGGAGGGTGAAGGGAGGGAGACGGGAGAAAGGGAGGAAGATGAGCTGAGGTCCTCCTTGGAGGTAACCAACGGAAACGATCAAACCTGCATCGTCGATCCTGGCCGCACCATCATGGCTGACACATGTGTGCTACTCGCTTGTTCGAATACGATCTAGCTTTCCCGAGCAATCGGGGTGGCCTCCACTGAGGGACTGACCACCACTTGCCCTCAATGCTGCACGTCAGAATCCATGACAATGCTCCTCACTCCCCTTCTCCACCTCCTCCTCCACCACCTCCACCTCCATCCGTTTTCCTTATATAGAAGGCTCCCCATGGTCTGGCCACCAGAAATGTCGGAAAGACGGGCGGGGTGCTTCGCCCGAGACTTCCTCCCGGTGGTGGTTCCGAAGCTTGGGATTCCCAAAACACGGGTGGAGTGGGACTGTTATCGAAAGGGTTTTTTTTTGTCCTACAACCCCGTGCGAAAAGCAACTGGGGTTTGGTGAGCCCCCCGGCCCCCGAATTTCAATGTTCATCGTGCGACCAGCGAAGTTCGAAAAAAAAAATCGACCCCGCGTTGAACATTGAAATTGGGGGGTGGGGGGGGGGGAGGTGTGCACGAAAACCCCAGTTGCTTTTCGCACGGGGTTGTAGCGCCGCACGCACCTGTCGGACAGGGTGCAAAACGGGTGCACGGGTGGTGCAGGGCGGTTTTCAGGGTGCGGCTCTCGCCTCGGTGACGCGCACAGCCGTCTTTGAAAGCTCCGAACAAGTACACAGCTGGAGGGGACGGCTGTACACATGTGGGTTTCGCTTGCGCACCGCGCACATTCGTCTTGATCGCTCTCGACAGCTCAACCACATCTATGGAGTGCGGTTTCCATCCCAACGAGCAGCTCTCGCCTGGGCGTCGTGCACATTTTCGTCTTACGATCTCCCGACAGCTACATGGATGAGGGGGTGCCGCTTTCGACATGTGGCTCTCGACGTCGCGCCGCGCCTTCGCTCGTCTTCATGGTTTCCTGCGGCTAGGCGGATCCAGGGCGGCTCCTTTTCAAAATGCAAGGAGGAGGAGGAGGAGGAGGAGGGACTTCCTTCGTCCTTATGATGACGCACGTACGTTTGTGCAGAGGCTGCACGGGAAGAGGGCGGCTCATCTGCCATCTGCGGCCCTCCCTCGAAACTCCTTCGGTTGCATGACCATGAAGGGGCCCTGGGACACACAAACAAATACACACATCAAAAGATTCCCCATGTTTTCTCATATTTTCTGTTTTTTTTTTTTGTCTTCCCGCCCAATTCCCATATTTTCCTATATTTCCTGGGGAATCGAAGATTAATTGTGTCTGTGTGTTTCTTTTCCTCCTGACAGGCGCCCGCGGGAAAAAATGGCGGATCGAGGGCGGATCCGTTTTGGGAAGTGAAGCTCCCGCTGAGCACATCGGCGGGCGTCATGGCATTACCCGATGGCCGTCCAAGCCGCCAGCAGCATGGACGGTTAGCTGCTTTTTCGAAGCTGGGCTGCCGCCGGAATTGTAGGACCATGCAGCATGCGTCAAAGGGAGCAGGCCCCAAAGTGAATCGGAATCACTGCAAGGGCTTACGAGGAGGGGACTTGCAGCGGGAGGGCGTGCTGCGGCATCGTGATGCACCTTGAGTATACGCAGGTCCTCCTCCTCCTCCTCCTTCTCTTCCTCCTCCTCCCCCTCCTCCCTCCATGTCGGACTTACTCCTCCTCCTCCTCCTCCTCCTCCTCCTCCTCCTCCTCCGCCTCCCCTCTCCTCCTCCTCCTCCTCCTCCTCCTCCTCCTCCTCCTCCATCCCGTTCATGATGAGCAACTCCTCCTCGTCGCCTCCCCGTCGCACCCCGAGACGTGCTGGTTGGGCGGCCGGGCGTTTCATTGGAGAACGCCTCGCCAATTCTGATTATGGAAGGAAGGCGGGTGGCTTTCAACATGTGGCGCTAGCCTTAGCGTTGCGCACATTCGTTTCAAAAGTGTGCAGCTGTTCGAATGATACGTATTGCCAAGGTCACAAAGAGCGTTCTGGCACGTTTTTGAACTGTCAGGACGCAGCCATCATCCCAGAAATGCTTCTGCGCGAATTAGGGCTATCCAAGCGCAGTAGGAACGTTGATCCGCGGCGGCAAAGTCCAAGGAACGCTGCGCGCTGCGGTGGCACGGCTCAAGATTCTCGAACGGTTGTCTTCTAAGGGGCCCCTCCCCGCAATGTAAATCACTTTTTCTCGGGGCCTCCGAACATGGAACTTCGAAGGAGGATGTACTACAACATCGGTCATGCGGTTTGGGTTTGCAATGGTCCTTCTCTTCCTCCTCCGCTTCTGATTTTCCCAGTCTCATCCTCACAGCTTTCTTCCTGAATGTCCCTCCGCTCTCCTCCGTGCCCGTCGCCTCCCCGATCCTTCCCCCTCCGCCCCTCTCCGCCTCCTCCTCCCCCTCCTCCTCCTCCTCCTCCTCCTCTTCCTCCTCCTCCTCAAGTCCTCCTCCTCCTCCTCCTCCTCCTCCTCCTCCTCCTCCTCCTCCATTCCGTTTCGTTGTAGACCATCTCGTCCATGTCTTGCACCGGACGCGTCCGTAGGCCAGGCCGGGCGCTTCGCCTAAGAGTTGCTCGCCCTTGGTGATCCTGAAGCTTGAGACTATTGACAACAACTTCGAAGATGGAACCCAGGGAGGTTCAAAAAGTGGCCCCTGCCGTAGCGCCGCGCACATTCCTTTTACGAACTTGGAACAACTTCAAAGATGAAGCCCGGGAAGTTTTCAAACTGTGACTCTCGCCATAGCGCTGCGCACATTTGCTCGAACATCCTGCAGCAGCTTCAAGGATAGAGACCCGTCATGTTTCGAATTGTGGTTCTCGGCTTAGCGGCGCGCAAATCCATACGATCCACCCCTCCCCGTCTGACTCAAAATGTACCAGTCGCCGCAAAACCAACCGACCCACCCCTTAGCATGTGATGAGCAAATTAAACATCGGTTCGCGCCCATAATGCCCAACCCTCATCATCCTATGTAGCGAACTTTTCTTCGGCGCGCATCCGCATGACCCAACCCTTAGCATTCGACGCAAGAACAATATGCACACACTCGCCTGACCCAACCCACACCATCCGATCCAACATATACGACCCGGCGTACACCCGTACGGCCCACATCATCATATGCAAGCATCCAATAGTCGATGCCCTTCCGCACGATCGAACCCTCATCGTTCGATGCGAATGAACAAGTCCTCGCGTATCCACCCGACCCAACCTCCACCATCCAATGCGAAAAACAATTTTCAATGCGCATTTGCGGATCTCCAACCTCGACAAACCCCAGACCCGAGGAGCCCGGGGGCACAAAAGGCAGCAAACAAACCATGCAACGATAGCATCTACAGGATAAATCGAGCCGTCTGGGGCACCCCTCGCCGACAACGGTTTGGGACCCAAGCGCTCCCCGGGCTGCCCCAAGCGCTCCCGAACGCTCCAAGACGCTCCCAGGAGCCCCCAGACGCTAAAATCCCTCCTTTGGCGATCCCAAGCTCGCCGCCGCCACCAGCAGCAGCAGCATCCACATCCTCATCTTCATCGTCCTCGTCGCCGCAGGAGGCCTCAAAGAACATATAAAGTCAGATCGCGCTGACGCGTGTACCACGAGCGGTTTGCACAATGGTGGGTGATATCGCTTTCCTGGTGCCGCGCACTATCGTTTTGAGCAGCCCCAAAAACATACAGAGGGCGGGTCGTTTTCAAAAATGTGCTCTAGCCCTGGCGCCGTGCATACTCGGCTTCCAACTTGTTTTTAGCTGCGCGAACGGATGGAGCATCCTTTCCATGACGGGTGGGGGCTCTGACAGGGAACCCTTAGATATGGAATCCAGGGCCTGAAAGCCCGTGGAATTCTTTTCGTGGATCGACCACGGATATCAGCGCCGCCTTCACCACATAAGGAATCCTCCAGGGCCTGTAGCCTCCTGGGCACATTGCTTCAAGAACGCCCCCACTGCATCAGGGTCTTCCCATGGCCTCGCGCAAATTCGAATTCAAAGAACACCATCTTCACTCACGTGACCCTTCCTCGACCTCCACGATCCGGCGTTCCATATTGCACAACAGCTAATTAACACGGGTGGAGGGCGGTTCCTCTTTCGAAACGGGGCTCTCGCGTGAGACTTCCGCAAAGCATACGTCCACGATTTTGACATCATGCAACACTTAGACAGATAGAAGGCATGCTCTTCTCAAAATGAAGCTATCCCTGGACCTCCTTGAAGGCCTCTCGCGTGGGACTTCCGCGAAGCATACGTCCACGACTTTGACTTCCTGCAACGCTTATACGGGTGGACGGCATGTGTTTCTCAAAATGGGGCTACCCTGGGCCAACTGGAGGGAGGATCCTTTACAACAAGCGCCCTCGTCTGTCTGGCGTACCGACCGGCCGCTCGTCATTCAAGGGGGGGCGCTCGCAGTGGAAATGAAGATTTGCATGGACATTTTATGAGGACGGGGCTTGGGACGGGAGGGTGTGTTGCAGCATCGGTTGATGAATCTGGTCCTTCTCCTCCCCCCGATTCCTGATTTCTGCCAGTTTTGAGGTCTTCATACGTAGCCTCCTCCCCCAGGGCAGCTCGGCACTGGGGGGGGGGATCAAACTCGAGCCAGGTGGCCCCTGGAGCACCGCCTGCTCCTCCTCCTCCTTCTTCTCCTCCTCCCTCCTCCTCCTCCTCCTCCTACTCTTACTCCTATCCTTATTCCTTATTAGAATATACTCCTACTCCCCCCTCAGGCCGGCAGATAGGGGCCCCATCCGGGTGGTCCCATCCTAACCTGTAGAAAACAATACAAAATCAACATTTTTCTTATTTTTTCCTCTCGACATGGACGTCCTGTCGTCCACGGCGATAATCCATTGCAAAAAATACAACAAAGAGCACACGCGCGCGTTCATGTCAGAATCCTACCGAACACCGTGTGTTTGCAAGCATTTCAACATAAAAACATCAAAAACCCCATGCTTTTTCACAAAAAACTACACATTTCCTGCCCGGGCTCTCTTGCTGAAATCATAGGAAAACCATAGGAATCTTAAGAATTCTGTCAAATCCAGCGATTTCACGTCATCGCGCGGTGCACTCGCGATGCTCTGTCATGCACCCAGGCCTCGAATCCTGTGCAAAAAATACCACGCGGGCGACATGCGCGCGCGTCGCCGCGAGCGCATGCTCAAATCCTTCTAGAGTCGTCGCCGTCATTGGCACCGTCGCATGGACGTCCTGTCGTCCACGTCGCAAAATGCATGGCAGGAATGGGACCCGGCTTACCGGGCCGTTCTCGACACGGCCACCTCTGGCTTCCTGCGGTGTACCGGGCCATTCTCGACTCGTCTGGCAATGCGTGCGCGGCATTCAACACGCGCTCGCCAGTTCCCGTCGGCAACCGCCATCGCGGCCGCATCAGCTGTACCAAACCGGCTGGCCGGTGTGACTTCGGCCCCCAGTTGTGCCAGCTTTGCTTCTTATGTTGTGGGAGGGCGGGTGGGACTGGGCATGCCATGCTTGACTCGCTCGAGCTGGCTAGCTTGACTCCTACTCCTACTCCTCCTCCTACTCCTACTCTTACTCCGCCTCCTCCTCCTCCTCCGCCTCCTCCTTCTACTCCTACTCTTACTCCTACTCCTACTCCTCCTTCCCCTCCTCCTACTTCCCCTCCTCCTCCTCCTCCTCCTCCTCCTCCTCCTCCTCCTCCTCTTCCCACCAGCGGCGTATGGCCCCCCCGCCGGCCGCACCCCCCTGGCCCCACCCAGGCGGCGCTGCTCCTGGGCGGGCCCCCAAAAATGATGCCGATGCGGCTGATCACGGGAGGGTCCCAATGTCTTAGATGAGGAGGAGGAGGAGGAGGAGGAGGAGGAGGAGGAGGAGGAGGAGGAGGAGGAGGAGGAGGAGAAGGCGGAGGAGGCGGAGGCCCTCCACCTTCTCCTCCTCCTTCCCCTTCAGCCCATGGCCGTCCCTGCCCCTGTCTCCGGTGGCGAATACGACGAACCGTAGGCAAAGAAGCAATCACCGCAGGTTCGCAATCGTGTCGTGACGACTTCTGCGCTGCTTGCTGGCACCGCGTGCTCCTGAACCAATCGCGGCTTTCCACTGGCACCAATCCCTCGATTCCGAGCTATTGGCGGCGTTTCACCTTGGGCGTCAGCGCCGGGGTCGCCGCCGCCGCGTCGACACGGCGCGAATCTACAGTTAAGCTTGGCGTGTCCTCCCAGAGGCGGATTTTGGGAGAAAAATCAAAATACCACCACAAATGTTCAAACATATGCAAGAAAACCTCAGAATTCATGGAACAAATCGTCCCCAGAGTATTTTTTCCATTATTGAATAGTCCTCCCGTAAAGGGACACGCCCGACTTAAACCTACCGTAATTACCGCTCGCTGCTCTCCGGCGGAATTTTCCCGGGGTGCGCTCTGGCCTGATTTCGAGGCGACTCCCGTCTTTTCACCTGAGCATCGTTGAACCAACCCCTATCCCCATGGGCGTGGCGCCTTGGCCCCATTGGCTGTTTTCCTCCCCCCCAGATGTGGATGTGGGCCGCTTCCTGCGGGTTTCGAGGGAAATATGCGAGGCGGGGATTCATATCCACCGCCTGGGCGGGCGGTGGATATGGAGATATATGGCGCCATCGAAGCTTTTCGAATGTCCGAAGTTATCCAACAGAGTCGTGGAGGAATTGGACGCCTTCGATGCTGCAGCGAGGCTGGAGGCCCGGCGAGCGGGCCGATCTCGCCCCCCCTCTCCGCCGCTCTTGCCATTACAGCTGCCGGCAAAGCAGTTGGCCGATTCAGACGGTGATGCATCACCGGGCACTGCACTGATGGACTTGTGACCTCTCGGAGAACCTTGGGAAATAATAGTATTTTGGCCCCCGGGGGCCCGAGTATATCCATCTCCACTGCCTGCCGAGGTCGCCGCGCAAATTGATCCTCCAGGCGGTGGTCATGTAGAAATTCCCGCCGCGGAGAATATATCCTCAACTGGGGTGGTGGGAGGGTGGGGATCGAGACGAGCGACAATCAGAAACGGGTCTTGCGCGAGATGGCACAGCGACCTTCCGCCGCAGCTTTCGCGGGCAATCGGCGCGGCACGCTGCGCTGGAAGCGAGGGCGCTTGCGCGCGACCCTACGCGGGCAGCTTGACGCGCGAATGCCGGCGCAATCAAACCCGTTTTCTGGCCTCGCTCAGATGAGCATGGAGATGGGGATAGGGATCGGTCAAACCATACTGAGCAACGAGAGGCCCGCCCCCAGAATGCCAAAGGAGGCGCGACAGCGGGGGAAGGGCGGCGGCATCGGCAGCTTCACCTCCCCTGCAGAAGCTCCGCTGGCCGCCGCGGCGAGGCCCTGGAGCCAGGGGACCGCGGCCAGCGCGATGCGCCCGGGCGGGCACCAGCTCTCCTCGGCGGCACGCAGAGGGGCCAACTTTTTGACCTCTGGTGCGCGGCTTTTGGCGACGCACGCAGTTGGAGTCAGGGGGAGGGGGAAGGCGTCGTAGAAGGAGGCTGCTACGTAGAGGGCGGCTTTGGGCGGCGCGCACACGGAAAGCAGGGGGAGGGGGAAGGCTTCTTAGAAGGCGGATGTTTCTTAGAAGGCACCAGCCTGACCTCTACAGAGAAGTCCCGCGCCTTCTAAGAAGCAGCCCCTTCTAAGAAGCCCTCCCCCCTCCCCCTGCCCCCCTGTGCGCGCGGCCGAGTGGAGGGGGGAGGGGGCAAACCCATGCTCGCAGGCCAGTGCTGCAGGGGGGGAGGGTGGCGGGGGGGTGGGGGGCAGAGATAGCAGGCGCTTCGACCAGTTCAATGCCTGGCCCCACCGCGTACCTCTCGGCCGCTTGCCCGGGGCCAGGCTCTTCCACCCCGAGCCGCGCCCTGGCGGCCCCGGGCCCGAAGCCGGCCCGGGGAGGCCCCGGGATGGCGGCAGGGCCGCCCTGGCCTCTCCGAGGAGGACAGGCGCCTGGGAGGAGGAGAGGTGGCAGAGGATGTGGAGGGGCGCAGGAGGACGGAGGAGGAGGAGGAGGAGGAGGAGGAGGAGGAGGAGGAGGAGGAGGAGGAGGAGGAGGAGGAGGAGGAGGAGGGGGAGCAACGAAGAGGAGGGAGATCTCCCTGCTCTTCTCCAGAGGAGGAGGAGGAGGAGGAGGAGGAGGAGGAGGAGGAGGAGGAGGATAGTTATGACGAGCATGATGATGCTGATGATGATGCTGATGCTGATGATGGTGAACTTGATGATGATGATGCTGATGATAATAACGCTGGTGATGATGATGATGTTGATGCTAATGATGCTGCTGCTGATCATACTGCTGCTGATGATGCTCAGGATGCTGATGCTGATGCTAATGATGATGAAGATGATGATGTTGATGATGATGCTGATGATGTTGATGCTGATAATGATGCTGATGATGATGCTGGTGATGATGAGGTTGCTGATGCTGATGCTGCTGTTGATGGTGATGATACTGCTGCTGATGACGACGACGAGGAGGATGACGGTGACGGTGATGGTGACGGTGACGGTGATGGTGATGGTGATGGTGATGGTGATGGTGATGGTGATGATGATGATGATGATGATGATGATGATGATGATGATGATGATGATGATGATGATGATGATGATGCTGACGCTGATGCTGCTGGTGATGATGATGCTGCTGCTGACGATGGAGGCAAAGGCGGAGCTCAAATTCGCGCGGTCTGGCCTCTGACGGCATTTTGGACGCCCGAAATGGGTACCGAAAGAATGGGTACCATGCCCAACAGCAAATGTTGTCCCAAACCAACAGCGGCCGCTGTTGGGCGGGCGGCCTCCTGTCTCGAATGGACACCGGCCGCGGCGGCGTGGACAGCGAGCCCTGCTCAAAATGAACCAGATCCGCTGTTGGGCATGGTACCCATTCTTTCAGTACCCATTTCGGGCGTCCAGACTGACGGCATGGCGTCTCCTCGTCCAGGCGCAGCCCGCCCCCGGCGCGGGCCCGCGCCGGCGCCTGCCCGGCGGCGGGCGGCCGGGCGAACAGCGCCAGCGGCCCGCCCACCTCGAGGATCGCTCGGCGGCGACGAGGGGGGCGATATCGCCCAGGGGCGGGCACTGCACGCCTTCGCCAAGGGGGGCCCCTGTCGAAGACATATAGAGATCATCGGCGCCCCCGGATGCATGCATGAAGGGGCCCTGGGACACGCAAACACACAAATCAAGGCACACGGGTGACGGGATTCCCCACGTTTTCTCCCATGGCTTCTGGGCTTTCGTCTTCCCCCCCCTCCTTTTTTCCCACGGCTTCTGGGCTTTTGTCTTTCCCCCCCCCCTTTCCCACAGTTTCCCAGATCTTCTGGGGAATCGACGACTCCTGAACACTTTCGGAGGGTGGAGGGCTCAGGGTGAAATCCATATGGGCTTTTGCACTTCGAAAATCAATCCGTCTTGTGATTCGCCTTCTGCAGGCTCAAGCCTCGAAACCCATCGAAACGGCACTTCAGATTTCACCCTTTGCCCTCCACCCAAAGAAAATGCGTGGGACTCACTGTGCGAGTACATGTAGGAAGGGGCCCTGGGACACACAAATCAAGGCACACAGGTGACAGGATTCCCCATGTTTTCCCATGGCTTCTGGGCTTTTGTCTTCCCACCCCCCTTTCCCACATTTTCCCACGTTTTCCCAATGTTTTCTAGGGAATCGATGATTCACTGTGTCTGTGTGCGTTTTTTTCCCTCGTGGATGTATTTGAAGGGGCCCCAGGACACACACATAAATGCACACAAATAAAAAGATTCCCCATATTTTCCCATATGTTCTGGGGTTTTGTCTTCCCCCCCCCTTCCTTATTTTCCCATATCTTCCTGGGAATCGATGATTCGCTGTGTCTGTGCGCGTTTTCTCCCTCCTGGAGGTGCTGCTCTCCCCTGGGCTGCTCGCCCCCCCTGCCGTCGCCTCTTCTTAGGGATCGAGGACACTATCGGGGCGCCCAGGCCTCCGCGGCCCCCGGGCTCGAGCAGGGGCATCGAGGATCGAGGATCGAGGATCGAGGATCGGGGATCGGGAATCGGGGATCGAGGGCCGAGGATCGGGGATCGAGGCTCGAGGATCGAGTCGCTCGAGGCTCGGGGCGCGAGGAGCGAGGAGCGAGGATCGAGGATCGAGGCTCGAGGATCGAGGAGCGAGGCCTTGGGGCCTCGAGGCTCGAGGATCGAGGAGCGAGGCCTCGAGGATCGAGGCTCGAGGATCGAGGAGCGAGGCCACGGCTCCCGGGCTCCCGGGCTCGCTTTGGCCCTCTGGGAGCTGCAGACGAGTGCGCACATGGCTCGGCAGAGCTGCGAAGGTTGTGAAGGTCTTTTCTTGCCGCAGAGATTCGACGAAGGAAAGTCAAATCTGGGGTAAGATCAACTCTGCGGTCGATCCCCGACGTACTCGAAGGGCCCATACTCAGCCCTGGGCTGGTGTGCGCAGTGGGGCCTCGGGGCTCGAGGGCGGAGAGGCATTCGGGAGCTCTTGGCCTCGTCTGGGCCTCCTCGTCGCCAGGGCTGCGCCCGCCTCGGAATTCTGAAGGGTCTGTCTGGGAGGGGGGCGGGTCTATCCAGGGGGTGGACGAGCCTATCTTTAGGTCGGGCGTGTCCCCCTCCCTACAGGCGGATTATGGACGACAAATTAAAAATAGTCAAAAATACCCCGAATGGTAAAAAATAATCCTACAATCGTCCCAGACTATTCTTTTAATATTTTTGAATATTTCTCCTGAAGCGGGACACGCCCGACTTAAGCCTACCTGGGAGGGGGGCATCGTTCTCGGGCCAGCCTCACGGCCGTGAAGAGACGACCCGGGGGCGAACACTGAGGTCCTCGAGGAAGGGACCCAGGAGGACTGGGGACCTCGTACTGAGCAAGAGAACAAGACAGACATCGGATATTGAAAACGTTCCGAAGGTTTTTGAACGTGCCCTGCTCTTTTTGGGCCTATGTGAGCCTCTGGAGGCCTCTGGGGGCCCTCCGGGGACGTCTGGAGACCTCTGCAGCCAAAACAAGCTAGCAAACATCTCCCGGAGGCCAGCGCAGAATTCTTGGGTCGGTTGGCGCTGGGCTCTCGGAGGCGACAATACGGGCGACAAGCTAGAGGGAGCAATCCATGTACCTAGGGGCGCCGACGGTCTCGGCCAGGCTCCCCGAGAGGAGGGATACGCGTACGTAATGCCCGGGCTTTGGCCATTCGCCCATGTCACCGCCCTCGAGGTTTCCTTCCCCACATCCCCAGGGCGCGCTCCGCACGCTGGGGATGGGTTGCGGGGGGGGAGGGAGGCCCAGCGCTGACCCGAGAAATCTGCGCGGACTTGCGAAAATTTACGCCGCATGTGGTTGATTTTTGTTCTCCGTGCCTCGCCGAGAGCCCAGCGCACGGGCGCCAGGACCGATGCGTTCTCGTCGGAGTGGCAGAGGGCACTGGCGGCTTGCTGGTCCGACATGATCGCCACCAGCCACGCTGCCGCCGCACGCCACAGCCGATTGCTATCGCCGCCAGCACTCGGCCCCTCGCCGGGCACGCCGCACCCGCCGCCGAGGCAGGGCCCTGCAGCCAGGGCCGCGTGCGCGAGCGCCCAGAAGTACGCGAACACGTCGGCGAAGGCCGCGGCGCCGCACGCGGGCGACTGTGCGGCGGGGCCGAGCAGCGCCGCGGCCGCCAGGTGCAGCTCCGGGCCCGGGCCCTCGCCCGCGCCGCCGCCGGCGAGGAGGCCCGCCGCGAGGCGGGCGATCGCTTCCACGGCCTTGGCGTCCGCGTCGAGCCCTGCGGCGGCCATGCGCGGGCGGTTGGCGGCCAGGCGGGCCAGCAGGGCGGCGGCCAGCTGCGGCCGCGCCCGCCGCCACGCCTCGCTGCCGGCGGTGCGCCCCAGCAGGCCGAGGACGGCGTGGAGGCCCCAGCGCGTGCCGAGCAGCCCGCCGACCCAGGGGCGGAGGGCGCTGCCAAGGGGCGTGCCGCAGGCGGCGCCCGGAGCGCCGCCGGCGCCGGCGGGCGCGAGCGCGGCGTCCCACGCCGCGAGGCGCTGGCACTCCTCGTCGTCGTCGTCGTCGTCGTCGTCGTCGTCGTCGTCGGGTTTTGGTGCGCGGCCCTCTAGGCCGCGAGGAAGGCGGGGATGCCGAGGTCACGCGCGGCAGAAGCTCGTGCTGGAGGAGCCCCTGTGCGCCCGACCCTGGGCAAGAGTGGCCGTTGGTGCGCGGCTCTGCAGGGGGCCGCGGCAAGGCAAGGCCCGCGCGCGCAATCCAGTGCTGACGGGGCCCCTGCGGGCCCGCATCACCAATGGGGCCTGGGTCCCCCAGAGGGCCCCGAGAGGCCCCACGAGGCCCCCAAGAGGCATCCTGGAGGCCCCCTAAGAGGACTCCCTCCAAGACGCCCCCGAGAGGCCTCCAAGATGCCTCCAATACGCCCCCGAAAAGGCCTCCAAGATGCCTCCAAGACGCCCCCGAAAAGGCCCAACAACTACCTCCAAAAACTCTCAACCCCGAACGTGGACGCTGGAAAACCATTCGTCTTCCCATGATTATACATCTTCAGCCGTCTTCGGGGTCCTCCAAGAGTACCCCCCAATGAAACTGCCTACAAGATGCCCCCCAAACGCTCAAGATCCTACATTTTCAGCCGCCTCGGGGGTCCTCCAATAATGCCCCCAAAAGATACCGTACAACATCTCTTTCCACTTCTCATGGTCTTGGTGATGTTTCAGGCGAGGGCGTCATCTTCCAAGATCCGAAGGTTTCGCCAGCGAGCTCAACATCTCCATTTGATGAGTACTCCAGATTTCGTAATAAAAGGGAGGGGGTCTGGACCCTCCAAGACAAGCCATTTCAGACCTCCCCCGTGGGAGAACCCTCCAAAACATCGTCCCCAGACCCCCCAGGCCCTCCAAGATAGCCTGGAAGAGACCCCCCCCCCGAAATGAGACCCCCCTCCCTTTTATTACGAAATCTGGAGTATGTCTGCGGATGTCTACGGGAGCTCTCCGAGGCCATCTTGGCGCCCTCGGGGGGCCGCCGTGGAGCTCTCCGGGACAGTGTGGGGAACTCTGGCCTACGACTGCCCTTGCCTGCCTCGCCCCGCTGCTGCCTCGCCACGTCGCTTCCACAAGCGCGGTGGCGGATATATGCGCGGCAGCGCCACTGGATATATCTATATATATATATATACACATACATATATATACATATATATATATATATATATATACATATATACATTTTCAAGACTGCATTGGCGCTTCGCGCCATGCACCTTGGTCCTTCACCTCTCACTTGCAGGCGACATGAGACAGAGAGGGGTAGATCAATCGAAATAGCGAAGGCTCTCAGGAGCAATTTTCGCCATCACCGTTATCATATTGTAGTTCCTTCTCCTTCCCTCGAGTTTCCTTTTCCTCTTCCTCTTCCTCTTCCCCGTTCTCGCCTTCATTGTCCCGCGAACCCTTTCCCGTCCTCCTCAGATTTGTTTGCGGAGGCTCCTCCGAGGCGAGCTTCTGGAGGACGTCCAGAAGGCCGAATAACCGAATAGCTTGAAAGCATTTAAACACCAATGGGTGATAATTTGCTCTGCGTTTCGAAAGCCTTTTGGGAGTGATATTTGGGCTGGTGGGGGTCCAGGGCCGCCAGGGGCCATCTTGGACCGTCATGGGGGTTTCTTGTGACCGCCGCCGACCCGATTGCACGGCTTGAATCAGAACAACTGAATACAGGCATGGGGGGATGCGGCGTAATTATGCGGGCGCCGAAAAAGAGGCAAGCCAAGCCGAGGATGTCATGTTGCAGGGGGTCGCAACAGGGTACGCAAACTAATGTAATTTGTTAGGACTGGACCGAATCCAAGGTTCGCAGCAGATTTTCGGGAAATGTGGTTGTGAACCCAAGTGTTCGGTTCAGTTTGGTCGAACACGCCCTGTGGGCATTGATGGAACCCTGGTGGGCCGGCTCGGGGCCCTGTCGAGCCGTCCTGGGGCCATCTTGGGCCGTGTTGGGGAGCTTGGGCCTGTTAGGGACCTTCCGAAGGCTACGCGGGCCCTTCT